CGCGCACTCTGTTTTTCTATAACCAATATTTTGATAACTTGCCAATAGGCAAACTAAACATTTACTTACTTGAAGACAATATTCTTACTCTTTATTACTCAAATCATCAATCTTAATTCCTTTTGTATAGAAAACGTGATATACCGAAACGTTTCGCCAAAACCTTACACCCCATTATCAGTTACGGGTAATTGACTTAGGCAAATTTTTGGGGTCACCCTCGTACATATACATACATACACACACATATATATGTATATGTATATGTCTATTTATGTATGTATGTATCTTTTTCCTTGATCTTTTTTTAAGCGTCACGCTTAATTTCTCACCCCTGAGTTAAAAACTAACAAAGTGTATTATTATTACACATAGAGGGATGATAGGGGAGACCCGCGTGCGCAATTTGTAATCCGATACAGATGAATGGATTACAAACGCAATCAAATTGTCAGATGATTTTGTTGTAGATTATTTAGATGATATTAGGAGCTATTAGATGATTAGATCTGATAGATAAAATTATCTGGAAATTTTTCATACTGGCAAAGATAAAATTAGATAGATAAAATTATCTGGAAATTTTTCATACTGGCAAAAAATATTGAAGTACTCCTAAGGTTTTGTAAGCTAAAGTGAATCAATTTAGAGACAGTCATTACTGACAAACAAATATATATTCTAGAGAATTTCAAAAAAATGTCTTTGAGAATATCAGGATCATCATTCAAAGTTGACCATAATCTCTATTATTGGAAACCATCTCAATATCTTTAGCATCTGAGCTAATACTAATGAACTATTTTCATTTTTTGTAATTAGTTTGTACATCAATATCCTTTACCAATTGTCCTTTATAATTTGATTCATGTAACTTTTAATCGATGCAAAAAGAAGCCCCCGCGTGCGCATCAGTTGCACAAAAGGGTCCTCCTAGGTCCTCCCCTTCTGCCCCAAGATAAGATATAAATGATAAATTTATATCGTGTTTGGTCCCATAAGGGCTCGTAATTACGCAATGATACGTCCCTTTGGACGAAGGTGAATGAGACACATTTGGGTGACTAAAAACAGGGGTGAACTATGAAGGAAAACTATTGGGAAAAAATAAGCGATATACAAAAAATTAACTATAGTAGTAAGATGACCATACGTCCCGGTTGGCCGGTAAAGTCCCAGATTTGTACCTTGTGTCCCGGGCAATATTTGTCCGGCAATATTTTCTGCCGGATTGTACCAATTTTTTAAAAATTTAGAGGTAAAACACAAAAAATTATGAAAACATACAAGCAAGTACTATTTTTTCTATTAATTATAAAGAAAGTGTAATAGAATCGAATCGAAAGTGTAATAAGATCGAAAAATATAAGATATAATATAATATCGTAGATAAAAAAGTATTACAAATATTCTAAAAATAAAGTTCTTACTAAAAGTTCGCCATAATAATAAAAAAAACGATTCTTTTTTAAGGCATTTGGTATTTTAAAGACCTCTACCCCTCTCCCCCCGTCCCAGGATTTCATAACTAAAAATTGCTGTCCCGGTTTTGAATTAAAAAAATATGGTCACCTTAATACATTATATATCCTAAAAGCTCGGACCATTCTCATAAAATTTAATGCATTTTATACTTTATAATGCACTTTTTATAGGGCACTACTATTTTAGGATGTTCGTTCAAATCATGACTTCTATTGCTATGCTAAATATTATTAAAACAGGCAATTTTTTTATTTAATTACGGAGAAAATACATCTTAAATGCTAGAGAATATGAAAGATCGAATTCAAAGTCGTTTTATTCCAAACATTTATATTGGCATGTATATGGCTGTCCTAGTTTCGCCCTATCTAACTGAAAGAGGGTGCTTTTTATATAACATTAGTGAGTTATTTGACAAAAACCAAAAAAATGTCCTTTTGAAAAGTTTAAAAAAAATTAAAAAAATCTTAAAGATATAATCTATTAAATAAATAAATTTGTAAGCATATAATACGAATTGAGTATTTTAGTTAATGTGAATGAAATTCAGGTTCTAGTTATGCAATTTTCTCCTAAGTTCTTCTCTGTTCTTATATTTAAGAAGAGATATGTCGATACAAGATTGATTACACAGTATCACCATGTATCTTTATAATTCTAACAAGGTCGATACAAAAGATTTATAAGGAAAGATATCGCAATTTGGTACTGATGGTCTACTGATGGAGAAAATTAGGACGAAAGTGGAGGATGATGATAATTTTTCCTTTATTGTGATACATACAACTATTTAAAAAAAAGTAGAATTTCATTACATATTTATGATATAAGTTTGACTTCACGTCTTTAACCCATCTATTCAATATACATTTTGAACACTCATTAGAAAGAATATGAAATTTGAAGTAAATTTGAAGGTTTAAATATACACTAAAATTATAATACTGTATCTTAAAATATTTTAATTTCTGGCAAATCTCAGCTGCTTTTGGGCAATAATAATGTAGACATTACATTTTTCTTATATATTTACATTCTAATATTATCTAGACTCATCATTTCAGCTAAATTCGAATTTCAAGTGAATTGACATTTCTAGCAGATGACAGTAGAAATGTTTTCAATGTCAAACAATGATAAATGTTTTTTTGTAATTTTTGCCATTTACTTCTACAATATTTCTATAGTTTTATGTGTTGTTCATTAAATCTTAAAAATTTCCATTGACAGATACTAAAAAGAATGATCAAAATCCGAATAACCGTTTAGGAGAAGTATCGAATGATGCACCCACAGAAGAATTTTAAATATAAGATATATATATATATATATATATATATATATAATTATTACTGTTAACGACTCACCACGTTTTAGTTTCTCCAGTGGTTCATGGTGCAGCACTGAAGATGGCGCGTGAGGCGGCGGAGGAGCATGGTCTCCTGCTCCACCGACGCCCTGCAGGGCCGCCAAAGAACTGCCGTTCATTATATCGTGCAGATTGTGTAGACCTGAAATTTAAAAAAATAATTTAGATAGAATTACCTCATGATAGACATGAGTAAAGTGACTTGAAAATTTACCATTTAAAATTATATAAAGCTCAAATTAATTTTAAGGACTAATATTGAAAGTAAGTAAAGTTTTTTTTATGGTCGATATTGGCGTTAATGAAATAAAACATGAAGATAAAGCTAATTGTTAATTTTTTATGCATGTTTTTTTAAGTTTAAGAATTGATCAATTATTAATTTATTACAATTGTGTTACTGCGATTTCTTAATTGACTTCAGAAATATTTGACCTACTCTCGGACAAGTTTGATCTGTGGTCTAACTGGAAAAATAAGATAATAATAATTTAGGATTTTTAGATAAGCTTAGTCTGTTAGCACAAACGATGTTAATTGAATACATTTTAATTTTTATGATAATTTTATTTTAAACAGATTGCAAAATCGTACCATATTATCTTAATAATCATATAGTCTTAATAATCAGATAGTAAGTGTCTTAGTATAAGAGAAAAATCTGATCCAAGAGTAGATATATGAGACAAATTCTTATCCCAGATTGGATCTTTTTAATTCTTTTGTTGACAAAAATAACAATTATTTTTTAAAGTATGTATTTTCTGAATTTTATATAAAATTATTTATAAAATATGGGACAAAGGATGGGGCAAAATATCTCACCAAAACCTGAAAAAAAGTTATAAAGTTGCAAAAAAAAATCATTGTCATTATCATTTAACGACATTTGCTACTAAGGGAGAATTGTCCAGAAATCCTTAAAAATCGATCACGTGATTAATGAACGAAAAAAACAGAACATGTGGTTAAATTATGTATCTACCTAATATTTCACGAATTTAATCATTATGAAAAATTAAAAATTGTACACCTAATGATAGTACTAATTTGTCTACATTAAATCAAATCAAATCTCTATTAAAGTTCAAATCTCTATCAAAATCAAATATCTATTAGATGTTTTTGTTGAATAAATGTTGTAAAACACAAAAACATAAGATTATTTTTATCACAAATCACAAATTATTGTGTTGCCCGAAAATTAGCCACTATGAACACTAAAACAAATATAAATCTGATGATAACAGGAATTTGTTTTCCGGAACGTCTAACAAAATAAGACAAGAAATTTTTGTTTAATAATTTCTGGACCCATGATACTATTAAATGCACTGCTAATATTTTAAAAAACTTTAGACCTAAATTAGTTTACTAAAACGTCTAGAAAAAACATAAAAGCAAAATAAAAATCAACCTGTTGATAATATTACGTATCTAGCTAATATTGCACAATTAATCACTACAAAAATTTAAAAAAATATAGATCTAAAAATGGCACAAATTTGTCTACCAAAAATAAAAACAAGAAACATTTTTTTATCATTTATCGACAAAAAAATTAAAAATCTCAAAAGCAAGATTTTTTCCCCGAAACTAGACGTTTGAAACAAAGTTCAAAACAAACACAATTTCACAAAATTAATCACTACAAAAATTGTAGATCTAAAGATTGCACAAATTTGTCTACCGAAACGTCTAAAAAAATCAAAGATATTTTATTTACTAATCACTAACATTATTACTAGTATATAGTAAACAAATTTAGACAAAATAAAAACATGTTACCTCGAAATTAACTACTATAAACATTTGCAAAAATATAGACCTGATGATGAAAGGAATTTGTTTTCCGAAACGTCTAAGAAAATTAGTAAAACTGAGAACCAGAAACATTTCTTTTACCATTTATCGACATGTGGTACTATTATGTGAATTGTTAATATTTTCAAAAATTAATCACTACGAAACTTTAAAAATGTAGATTTGAGGATGTCTGAAATTTATTTTTCGAGACGCCTGAATAAAAAATTAACATTTTCCGAAATTAATCATTTTAAAATCTTAAAAAATGTGAACCTGAAGATGGACAATATTGCTTCCCGAAACGTCCAAAAAAATAACACAATAATATGTCAATTATCACCTGTGCTACTGTTATGTGACCCGCTCCCCCCGCTGCTCCCCGACCCCGCTCCTCCTGCTCCTCCTGCTCCGGCATCGTTCTCGTGCGAATGATGCGAGCTGGTCAGCGAATGTAATTGTTGCTGCTGCAGCGAGTGGTGCTGCTGCTGCGGCGGAGCGTGGCCGTGCTGCTGCTGCTGCTGCTGCGACGAGTGATGGTGCACCAGGTCCTGCAGACAGAGGGCGGGGTCACCTGCTCCACCGCCGTGACCGCCGCCGCCGACGCCGATGCCACCGCCGCCCAGTGTCTCCATGGGCAGGCCCACGAAAGAGCCAGGCCCGAACGTGTCTTTGTACACGCGCAAATGAATTTTAGGGCCGTTGGGTCACACTCGAAGGGAAGAAGAAGAAGGTAGTAAAGAGTTGAACACTTTTTATAGAGACACTAATAGCAATTTACATAGATTTTTTATTTATTTTGTAATTTAGCACTATTTTCATTAAATTTATTATTTATGTGTTATTTAATTTAACAACTCAAAATATTAAATTAAAATATTTTACACAGGATATTTTGTTTAAAATTTATCACACTAAACATTTTTGTTTTAATATTTTTGATAAAATTTGATTTTTATTTTGTAACTAAAATATGTCATTGCTAACTTCATTTTTGTTTATTTAAAATTAATTTCTATCACATTTATTTAATCTCACTTGTTTTCTTCTTTGTATGTTTTGTTTCTTTAACCTGAAATTAAAAAAAAATGTTTATAATGATAAATTAAAAATTTTAATTTTACAAAAATAATTATAATATCAGTGGTATCCCATGTTTAGCTATTATATAAATAAATGGATAAAGATAAAGAACGAGAATAAAATTTAGTAAATGAATGAATAAATTTATAATAATCAAATTAATTTAGTAAATGAAAAAAATAAATTTAAGATAATAAATGAAGATGAATTTAAGATAAAAATGCAAAATGAATGAGACGAATGAAGATATAAGTGAATGAATGTAGATGCATAAGTTAAGTTATGTATTAATGTGTTAATAATGAATGAAAAAAAGCATTATTATGAGAGATTGGAGAAAGTTGAATAAGATCATAAAATAAATAAATAATAATTGGAGACACAAGAATAAATGAATGAACATGAATAAAATAAATGAATGAACATAATAATGAATAAACTAGTAGTGTATAGCATCGTGCTTTAAGGCAAATTGCTAGAACTTTCCGTGCTAAAAATTAATTTTTATAAAAAAGCTAAAAATTTATTTTTGAATTTGTAATTTTTGAAAAAAGTTGACTTCAGGGGAAATGCCTTCAAAAACTTTTTTAATTTTGTAATATGTTAGAAAGTTTGAACTTTTTTTCAAAGCAATCGCAATGCTTTAGCTGCATAGACACAAAACTTCAAAGCGCGTAAGCGCCGCACCGCCGTCTAACAGTCAAACGATGTGACGGAACCCACATAAATGTAAACAAAATTGATACATATTATTAAAATCTCCATAAAATATCTGATAATTTAATGTGCATATGTCTAGTGATCATTTTTGACCGCCAAATATTTTTTTTAATTTTTTTTACTAGATCTCCGAAACAGCTAGACCTGTCTTTCAAAAAATTTAATCAGTTCTTCGTCTTGTCAATACAAATAAAATGTTTTTTGAATTATTAAAATCGGACGCTCCGTTTACTTAAAAACTGAATTACCGTTTTTCTCACTTTTTGGTAAAGGCTAGACCTGCCTTTACCAAAAACTAATGAGCACGACTCCTTATCAATAGAAATCGAATGGTAGTTCATCGAAATCGGTTGAACGGTGTTCACGAAATCGTCGACGAAAATTTGTATCCGCACACACACACACACACACACACACATCCATTTTTTCTAAGGTATGCCAAAATATTCAATAACCTCTGAAACGTAAAGATATATAAAAATTTTCATTTTAGTTGTTTTGCGATTACTATAGCTAACCCTACGAGAGATTAATAAAAAAATAGATAATTATACAAAAGGAAATGAATGAAGACAAAGAAGATTAATACCAAAAATAAAAGAATGAATAAATATGAATAAAAATACAAGCATAAGTGAATGAAGATGATTAGGATTAATATAGTAAATAATAGAATAAATTAATGAAAGAATACATATCAATATCAAGCATCAATAAAATTCCCAGAATAAATGAATGAAGTCGAACAAAATTAATATTATAAATTAGAAAGTAATTAAATATGATTGCATTTATGAGAAAAAATGAATGAAGATAAATAGGATCAAAGGAATAAACTTATAAGAATTTTTAAAAAATCATCACCATTCATTGAACATTTTAAAAATTCCAATAATTTCTGTTGTATTTTTTTTTCAAAATGTTAGATGATAATGATATAAAAATAACCTAATTAACTTATTTTGAACAATGGACGGTAAACCAATCAAATTCAAAATCGGCTCAGTAGTTTAGGAGTCCAAACATCGTGACGCTTACTTTGTATATATTTGCATGTATATATATATAGGAAAATATTTATTTATATTTGTTTAGCCGATGTGAATAACCTGTAAGTCGGGATAATCTCGCCAGCTTAGAGTCTCTAAGCCCAGTTTAAATGCTTAAGCAAGCGATAATATAATATAACATCTACATCACATCACACGACCTAGCACAACTTCACTTCAACTCAGAAATAAACATCACATCGATCTAAATTAATCATTTTACATTTATAAACTAGTTACAAGTGGCAGTAAAGTTCTTGCAAATAATGAACAAAAGGTTGACAACCAATGTAAAAATTATTATAATGGTTAACATCATATTTCCTCTATCTCTAGTCTAGTCAGAGTCGTCGTCGTCGTCCAAGTAGTAACGTCTTATTAAAGGATTCCGCCAAGGATTTGAAATGATGTAAGGACTAAAAAAAGGAGTGTGCTCTGCCACTCTTTTTGCTTCCCTTTCCTTTTGGCGAAGGTCGAAGGACCTGGATTTAGAAATAATCTACAGATACCGACGCCACAAGGAAGGATATAGATATAGGATACAGCATTGTTCTTTCTTTCTTGCTGTTACTTCTTATTTTCAAACAGACATCATTGGATTGGTATCTGACTTGAAGGAATTTGCGGGTTGGACTAAATAAATAAATTGCTATCTGTTTATTTAAGACATTTGATGATAGTTTTGTTAGTTTCCTAGAGAAGAAATTTATGTTTTCGCCAGAAAATCCAATATGCTAATTTTATGTTTGCTTGATGTTTCAAGCCATTCTGAATCGAATGAGGCCAAATTTGGAAAAAGAGTGTGAGCAAGTTTTCTCAAAAACGGCTAAAACGATTTCAAAAATTTAAAAGCTATTCAATGTATCTCGATGAGAACTAGTTTATTAAGTGCAATGATCGGCCAAGCCGTTTTTTTGTAATTAGCAGAAGAGTGAAAAAATTTCGTCCGCGTTTTAGCCCGCAATTCTGTATCGATTTTGAAAATTCAAAAACCGTTCGATAGATATTGGTCAGGAATCGTGATGATTAACTTTTGGTAAAGATCGGTCGGCTTTCTTGTAATGAAGTTAAAAAAAAATCGACAATTTTTATGATTTTTTTGACGGTAGTTACCATAGTCTTGTAGATCATACTAAAATATTACGGCCCTACAACAAGTCGTTTAATTTTAAAAGTTCTTTAAAGTTTGCAAAAATCAGTATCGTCTTTTTGGCATTTGTCAAAATTAGACATTTTATCGACGTTTTCTCAAAAACGCCTGAATCGATTTCAGAAATTTAAAAGCCATTGCATGTATCTCGATGAGGACTATCGTTTGTCAGTTTTGTGAGACGATCTGCCAAACCGTTTCTTTGTAATTTGTGAAAAAGTGTTAAACTTTTCGTCCACATATAAGCTCAAACTACCGAATTCATTTTAAAAAATCAAAAACTGTTCGAAAGATATTAGTTGGGAATGATACTGATTGATTGGTAAAAATCTACTGAGCCGTTTTCTTGTAATTAACTGTTGAAAAAGAAATTAAGTCGATTTTTATGAAACTTTTTTTGGCGATATATATCATGGTCTTATAGAACTTACTGAAATATTACGGCCCTACGACAAGTAATTTAATTTTAAAAATTCGTCAAAGTTTAAGAAAATGAGTAGTTTTTTTGACGTTTGTTAAAATTAAAATTAGGCGATTTACTTGGTATAACGATAGATTTGGTCTGAATGAACATACTAAACCATTAAAGTCCTACGGAAACTGGTTCAATTATAAAAATTATTGATTTTTGAAAATTTGCTTCTAGAAAATACTTTGAGTTAACGTGTTCGTTCGTTTTCAATTATGTGTAATAAATCCACTTGGAATACTTTTAATCACTCATAAATTAATTTATTTTTTATAAATAATTAAGTCGATTATTTACACATATCAGAAAGTTCATGTAACTTGCCTCAAGGCAAAATACCAATACCAACTAGTTAGTAAGGTTTTTGTAATGTAACAGTGCACGTATGCACCTCCATAACTTCCATTCAACATCATTATCTTTCGACTACAACAAATTCCATTCCATCCTAGTTCTAGTTCTTAACATCTCATCTCATATCTGGAAAAGGTGAAGGTGAAGGTGAATTTGTCATCGTCTCTTACCTTACTACATCTCTTCGGCAATAACGCGCGAGCAATGTATGAAGCCGAACGGCGGCGGCGGCGGCGGAGAGCCCGTAATAAGCTCGAAGGCTTAAGAACGGTTAAAACAGGATAAAACAGGATGAAACAGGATAAAACAGGATGAATTCGGGATAAAGGCGGGATGATAAAGGATAAATCCGGATCGCACGTAACCGCCGACGGTGGCGCCACGCCGACGGTGGCACGACACGGCGCGACGGGAGACGACATTGAAAATTAAAGAGATGAAAAGTGTTTTTTTATTAAATCGGCAGTACTTAACCTAAGTAAACTTAATAAAATAAATAGGATAGAGCGATAGATTATAAATTGTATTGTGTTAAATTTAACAGTTTTTTTTTATATAACTCATAAAAAAGCTACACCTGGGCGTGATAAAAAAAACAACTGAACCTTCACCCTGGCAAGGATATAAAAATTATAAGTAACAAATAAAATATTAAATTAAAATTTTAAAAGTAATTTTACAAGAAAAAAAATACATAATAAATTTATTTTATAAATAAATAAGTAAAATCGAATGACTTTAGCCTAATGGTAATGGGGAAGGTATTTAAACAATCTATCATATACATTAAAAAAGTATAAAATACATGAAAAAATCACAAAATGATTCTGACACAATGTGTTTCTATCCTGCGCTCTGAAAAACTCATTTTCTCACAGACCTTTGAGCCTATCACCCATTTTTAATATAATGTTTCAAATTATTCTCTTCACACCAAAAACGTA